CGCCAGATTATATGGAGAAAGAGGTCCGAACGTCAGAAAAATGTGTATAGCGATAAGTGCCACAGAAAGCTAAGACAAATATATTTCCCTTCGGAATTTCGCTACTGTGCTGACAAATGTGACAGTTCACTCTGTCACCTAGATAGGTGACAGAGTGAACTGTCCCTATCTGCAACATTGTTGTAGACTGCATATGCCCAGCAGCTAATTTGACTGCTGTTTAAGTGCATTACGGCATTTAGTAATAATTTAATGGTTTTAATATATTTGTCTCGTCATATTTTGTTAGATTATTAGATTTTAATTTTTTTTAATAATTATAATTTGAAAAAAAAAGTAATGAAAATGAATCTTGGATACTTGAAATTAAATAAATAATAAATAAGTGAACCCTGTTCACGAAGACAGGGCTTGAGAAAGGTTAAGAACATAAAACATCCCTATTCAACTTGTATCAGGTTTACATTATTAATTTATTATTATTTATCCCTTCCCGCTTGGAAAAGGCTCAAAATATATTTATACAAAATACCCCATACAAGGGCTTCGCTCTCCTACATTTATTTTAAAAAAATGTAGGGGAGGCACACGGCTCCACACACGCCGTGTGCGGTGAGCGCCAACCATTTTGATGCACTCCCCCCGCAAGGAACGTTAATTCGGGAACTGGACCGTAGTCCACAGCAAAATAACTGGCGAAACAGTGAAAGAGGCTTGGCCCCTTGTTAGTGCGTAAGCACAAACATCGACCGAAGTCGCGCATGTCAATGCGTGTAAACGCCATACAGAATACGAACGAATCCAGCCACAGTTAATGCACGTCACACGGTTTGGGCAATTAGGCATTCTGGCCTTAAACCCTCCGTGAGCGCCACCACCTGCCAGATCGCTGCTCCTGCAGACGTGATGTAAGTGTATGGCATCACCACCGATTGCATGATCAGCACGGCTACTAGCCGCAAAGCGTATCATGAGTTTACCGCTCACCTCAAGGGAATGGGGTCCCACGTTGTGCGGCTTTCGGCTGCAGCCTTGAGAGTCTCCTCAGATCCTCCCGCCAGCTACCACTCGCATGGGGTCGATACATATGCTCCACCAACCAATACAACGGCAGATATAGCCAAAAGGCAGTTATAAGAAGTTAATAATAATTTGCCATCAGAAAGGTTTTTTGTCACTGACATTGAGTAAATGCATTTTCGATCATGTTTGTCTCACCCACCAACAAGTTGCCTTCAATCATTCAAAGGTGGGAAAGTTACAGAAATATATTATTATGTTGTTATATAAAACATCATGGAGAGCTGACAGTCTGCAGCCCCGTAATGAAGGGACCCGACTTGAGCAAAACTACTTAGGTGTGAGTCAAACCAAGACGCAGAGAGCGCCATTGAGAATAGCGTCCCACCAAACAACCATCGCAGAGACGCAATGCTGCAGAACGCAACAAGCATCAATACGACTATCGTCGGGCTTACACCATCCCAAGCTCCCCCCATACATCCCGGCAGACATCACCACCCGCATACCTCCATCGACCAGAACCACAAGAGTGCGTCGAATCAGGCGCAGCACACCCGCAGATCCATCACAAGACGCAGTACCGCAAGTAGCAGTAAGCATCAATGCAACTATCATACGGATGGCGCCCCCTCACAACACACCCACATGATCCCTATCGACTTTGGTAACAAAGTTTGTATTGTTGTTAACTAAAAAATATCACCAACGTATCATAGTAGCACGCTACTAAGACGCCAGTGAACAAAACTCCACGTATCATAGCGCTAATGCACTAAGACATGAAGTTGAGTATGCCTGTTACACTTAAAAGTGCTACCAAACACACTCATTCCAATCCGAAAGATAGACGACGCATCGCTATGCGCTACGACGCCGCCCTCAAACGGTATGGGTGTGCGATGTCCACGGGAAAGCCGTATTGCTACAACAAACCCGCTTACCACCGGCACTAAGATGATATGTCTAGGACACATCGGTTAGCGAGTCCAAGTTTACCTCGGACCAATTGCTCGTGAAGCAGCATTCACGCCACCATAATAATCCTTTTTCAAGTCCCTAATAAGGACTAGTCATTTTGCTACAGTACTAGGAGACCTAGGCATAAAGGAGACCTTCTATAATAATGCTTTTGCATCATAGACCTTACTTTCATAAGTCATTAATATATAGGACTTCAACCCACGATTCTACTATTGTAATGCTAATTCATCATAGAGACCTTCTATAGTATTGCTTTTGTATCATAGACCTTACTTTCGTAAGTCATTCATACATATATAGGACTCGAACCCACGACCCTACTATTGTAATGTAAATTTATCATAGAGACCTATAGTATTGCTTTTGTATCATAGACCTTACTTTCATAAGTCATTAATATATAGGACTTCAACCCACGACCCCACTATTGTAATGCAAATTCATCATAGAGACCTATAGTATTACTTTTGTATCATTGAGTTTATTATCATAAGTCCCTAATATAGGACTAGTCATTGTGCTACAGTACTTCAAGCAGTCGGGCTCCCGACCACCCCATATATATGTACAACTGCAGGTATGTACCTCCGGCAGCTCCTCCATACAAGACATCTATACATGAAGAACTTCCACAGCTTAGGAAAATTTTCTTTTATACATGAACTCCTTCCAAGACTTAGACAATTTTTAACAAATTTTCTAATTATCTTATAAATGTTATTTATCTTTATTTTTATAATATTTTCTACTTGTATTTCTATTATTTATCATATTATAAATATTTTTACAAGTTTTTAAATAAATTTATTTATTATGAAAGACAATATTTTGCCTTTTATTTACTACATTATTGGTCTAATGTCTGAAATGTATTTATATTAACTTTATGCTTATTAATGTAATTTTATTGCTTAATAAATAAATAAAAATAAAAATTGTTTATTTCGGACAACTTGAAATCCATAGGAATTGTAGTAGAGAAAAACTTACATCTATGTTAGTAATATAATTTATACATTTTTATTTTTTTTATTATTTTAATATTTAATTATTAAGCCGGACATGGTCTTGGAGATCAGTGGACAGTCCCCACTGTTGGCAATCTCACTCAGTACACTGTGGCCGCTGCCGCGCACTCTGTAAATAATATATATATATATATATATATATATATATATATATATATATATTTTAAGACACTTTTTAAGACTATTTTTGATGTCCCTTTATATTGAATTTAATTATTATTAATAATATTGGGCCGTCACAAAAGCAAGGATTAGAGTTGAGCGATTAGTCGTCTCTATCGCACGCGTGGGCTTTTTATCGGGCTTTCGAGAAGACTATCGCTCCCTTTCTAACCTATGGCAAAATGTTCTATAATGAAATATAACTACGAAATGTTTATATAGCAAATTAGTATGGACCAAAAAGCCCGGCTTTATTGTGAAGTTGTCGAGTGCGAGGGCTTGTGAGCGATACGTTTTCAAGTTCACTTTACATTAACTCTGTTTGTTTCGTGTGTGTGTGTGTGTTCAATGTTTACTCTGTTTTCGTGGTGTCTGTTGAAAATTTATGCTTTTTTTTAAACTTTTTTAGTGAAAATGGACGATAGTGTTCCTTGTGATGAATTGAAGTGTGTACTAAAGTGCTAACCGGCGAGGAAAAGGTGAAATCTTTTAACTTTTTTGAGAAAATACACAAGGACAAGAGCGTCTTTCGGACTTATCAATTATCGCAATTGAAAAACATTTATTGGTACAATTAAAACGTTCACCAACATTTTACGCGGATGTAACCAAATCTTTCCTTAAGAAAGAGAGACAATTCGATTTAGAATATAAATATTTTTTTTTAATTTTGTACATAGTTTGTTTGTACTTTGTTCATTTATAATATTGTATGTAAATATCTTTTTCTTTCGCTCTAGCAAACCCAAACGCATTTTTTAAAGCCACCGTAGGTATGCAATTGCTGATATGTCATACATTCTATCTAGCAGTAGTATGCCTTCTGTGTGCTTTGTTAAACACGTCCTCGACAGCATTGAAGATGAAACTGAAGAGTGGAGACAGATCAAGATTGGCGTATTTTTATAAAACTGCTAAAAACAACAAAACCATATCTTGGGCTTACCCTAGTTTGAGGCCCTAGCTTCGCCACTGCTTCATACTGGAACGCAACAGTGCTATTTGACGGTAGAAATAGGCAAGAACGTAGTACCTACTTATACAGACTCCTGGAAACAAAGGGAGTCCATCTAGCATCCTACCATCTAGTTAAGAGTTTTGGCATTAGTGATTTTGTTGTTAAAGACCTTGAAATGAGTCTATAGGACGATTCAGATCATACAGAAAGCATTGGTGAGAATGGAAACACAATAGAATAGATGCCTGCGCACATCTTGACTTGGATTCACATTTGATCTTGATAATGAGAAAATGCATAGAAATCCTCGTGTATGATCTTGGTATAATGACATCAGACATTTAATCATCATCAACAAATTAACTTTATTTCAAGCACGTTAAAGTCTTTGCGTTCGTGGATTTGTACTGTGACCACAACATTCTTCCGGAATTAGTATAACTAATTTGATAAATAATCTGTGCATAAAAATGTTTAACTAAAAATTCAGTGTATGTATTATGATTGTAACATAATATACTAATTGGGGTGTCTGAGGGTGTGCGTTAATTACGTTACATATTGTATATTTTAATATTTAAATTTAATGTAATAAACAAATGCAAACATTTTGTTTATTACGTTGCAAATACCCTTTGACACACAAATATGCAACCCACTCAGTCATGTTAGAATCCTATTCCATCATCATCATACAAACCATCACAGGTGCACTGTGTAGTGAATGTAGGTCTCCTGCAAGGAACACAAAAACGGTCCTGAGTCATCTATTGAAATTTTTGTTATAAGGTATTAGTTATTACAACAATGTTATTGTATTTGGTGGTGCATGAATGAATTTGTTTCAGAAGAGAAATATGTCTGCATGTGGGATATATGTGGGCACACAACATCCGACTTTAATGAGATATGCAGGCATATAAATTATCACGCATATCATGCAAAGCTCCTGGCAATCGGTTACAACGGGCGGGCCACGCTTAACTTGGCACGTTGTAAAAAGGATTCGAGTAAAAGAAATCAATTGCCGCCGTCGATAAGTGTACATCGTTGCATGTGGGTTGATTGCGACATCGCGTTTAATTCTATGCAGGTATTTCTTTTATATCTAATATCTATTACTTCTAGATAAAAATTGTTTGAATATTGTTCTTGCAAATTTGACTACTATTGACAGAATAAAATTAACCGTGTAGTGGTAATAACTGTGCAGTGATGCTGTTAACTGTATAGTGGCAAAAGTACTTAAGTCAATTTTTGCGCTAAATTCTAAAAAGTCACAGCAATCGTGTTTTTGTATCATCCGTCGTCGTCGGAAGAAGCACGTAACTCTCCGACGCTTAATTTAGACGCAACAGCCGACTGTACCATATAACTTATGTTTTATCAACAAATCGAGCGGCGACAAAAATTACTTAAATTGACTTAAGTTTTTTTATACTGCAAGCTGACTGACTTAAGTGGTTTTTTACAATGGTCCGTTTTTGTTCTTTATAATACTTTGAAGTACCTACCCTCTTTTTAAGGGTCTGATAAAGTGGTAAATTTTAGTTAAGTCAAAAGAAATACACATTTCTTCATTAGATGTTATTTGTTTCTGTAAGACGGTGGTGGTGTACGTTGAGTTAACTGTACCGCAATGGATTCAAGGGCCAGAAAATTGGTGAATCTCGCCATAAATAATAACAGTGCAGCAATGAATGAGAATACAGGTATGTGGTGAAGTTCTTTTTCCTGCTCTTATCCCAGTAATTTGTGTCGGGGTAAAAGTTTTTTGATGTGAACGTTAGTTTATCATTTTATTGCAATGGGTAATATGCAAAACTGTTTAATAGCTTTAGTTGAGATTACCACACCTCTTTAGAAAGTTTTTTTTTATATTTAAAAACATCACAATTTCCAATCTGTTATCAGTTTTTATTATTGTTGTTTTTTACAGGAGACGAAAACCCATTCAGTAATCCACAACCAAGTAAACTAAAACAAACTATTTTAGATGAAACAGTAAGTAACTTTTCTAGTGACGATTCTGTGGCTGATCCTATCTACTCTCCGGGCAGTCCTAGCTTACTTACACAATAAAAAGAAATGGAAATTGCCGTTCCTAATGTTCCATCAGTGGATATGCATATAACGCCAGACAATGAGACACCTGAAAACATTGGAGATATTTCTTTGCTACAACAAAACCAACCAGTGTCCTGTAGAAAAAAGAAGCAAGAAAACAAATTAAAAAGAAATCTTGGCCAATCTTATGTGACAGCTTCTGGGAAAACTATTGGAAAACGTCAAATGAAGGAATTACCTAACTGTCGGAATAAGTGCCGACAGAAAATAAGTGATGAACAGCGCGCTTTGATACACAAGGAGGTTTGGAATCTTGGGTCTTACGATTTAAGGGCAGCATTCATTTCATCTTTGATCACTATCCAAGAGAAAAAAACTGAACGTCTTCGTGTCGAAGATCCTGACAAACAAAAATGTAGACAGCACACTTACAAGTATCATTTCAACATTAATAGTGAAAAAATATCGGTGTGTGGTGTTTTCTAAAAACCCTTGAAACAGAACGGGACGCACACTTACTAGCATCTGATATGGCTTACAATGAGAAGAAATTTGACAAAAATACCGCAGTTACAGATAAAAAAATCAAGTGTCTGTCTTTTGACCTACAACAATGCTTGCCAACCCCAGCTTTGCAATCATCTGTAGCCTTTTACAAAAGACAATTTTGGACCTTCAATCTTACGATACATGACAACGGAACTGGAATATTAAGGCACCACATGTGGCATGAGGGAATTTCGGGTCGAGGAGCTAATCAAATAGCCTCTTGTTTGTTTTTATATTTAAAAGAACTTCCTGAAGAAGTTTCAGAAGTAATTTTGTACTCTGATACTTGCGGAGGACAAAATAAGAACACCCATGTGGCTGCAATGTTTACCTACTTGTTGCCAGTGAAACCCTCTATTAAGTTAATAAATCATAAATTTATGGTACCTGGTCATACACATATGGAGGTGGACTTGGACCATGCAATTATAGAAAAAAAAGAAAAAAACTGAAATTGAAATTTATCATCCACATGATTGGATGCAATTAGTCAGGTCGAGCAGCAAAAAATTTACAGTTAAAGAAATGCGGCAAGCAGATTTTTTTGACTTCGCTGGATTATTGAAAGGGTCGTTAGTAGTCCGAAAAAAAGACGATGATGGAAATATTTTCAAATGGCATGATGTGAAGTGGCTGTGTTACGAAGCTGAGTATGGCGTCATAAAATACAAAAAATGTCTGTCAAAAGATGAATGTTCAATACTATTAATTTCAAACGGAACACGCGACGAGAAAAGGAATTTAATTTGATGCAGATAACTGCAAAGCCGGTACCAATAACCATTGAAAAAAAAACGTGACATAATATCACTTTTATCTTTAATACCGGAATGTTTCCATAATTTTTACCAGAATTTAGTAACTGCTACAGACACAACTGATGTTGATCCACATTTATCAAATTCTGAAGAAAGTAGCCTTTAGTTTATTATAAAAACTTAACTAATAAGCATTATTATAATTATTAAATATTATTGATAGTTCATTTTTATATTTCTAAACATTAATAAGCTACGTAGTTGTATGATACAGTAATAAACACTTGAGTTGCGATTTCTTTGCGCACATAAAAACTTAAGTCAGATATTTCAGATAATAATAAATAAGTTTGAAATATACTAAATTTAACGTGTAACTAGTTCGTGATTATGTAATAAAAAACAATAAAAATAAAAACTGTACTACATTTTTTTCACACCAATCGAATAAAACCCTACCCTGTAAAATTTTTGCATGCAAAAAGATTTGACTTAAGTGCTTTTAACTTCCGCGTCTAGATATTTTCCCATAGGTGACATAAGAAGAGCGACAAAGGGGAACCAAATCAGGAGATGGACGGCAGCATAGTTTATAGTCTGTTTTAACAAACGAGTACTTAGGCCATAGTTGTATAAAAATAATTTAATTTTCTCTACAGTAAATTTTAGAAATATTCAATATGAATGGGCCTTTACAATTTCAAAACAAGAACAAAGGCATTAGCCCCACCACTAACAATGACCCATCTCGCTCTGTCAATACCGGAAATGTGCAAGAGACATACTCAGTACTTGTTTGTTAAAAAAAAAAACAGACTATATTAATATTGACTAGAAAGTAAAACTGTGGTTGCCAACTTGTCAACCAAGCATTGCAAATATCTCCCTTATGAGGCAATCTTTTTTTTTTATTTATTATACATAATTTTGTTACATTATCCAGTACAATACTAGCATATAAACCTCTAGGGGTTTATCTACGCTAGAGAGTCGTCTTATATAAACAAAGATGTATTAATATTGAATCACATTATTCTAACAGAAGTACCTACTACAATAAGTATGGTTGATTTAACAAATATGATTTAAGTTTACTTTTAAACAGTTTGGATTTACGAAGGTTTCTTGTGGACGGACTTTCTTGCTCCATAGAAATGTTTAGTTTTCGGAGTACATACATGTTAGATTTATAGGCTATATTTTGTAGTTTTACAGGTCGTTTTTTAAAAAGTAGATATTCAGAATTATTAACTTCCGTCAGTATATTAAATTTAACTTTATCGAAAACATTTATGACTTTGCAATATTTAAAAAGGCCCTGGTCATTATCTATGTACTTATTTTTAATGTGATTAGGCACTATCCATCGAAGCATCTTGCTTTGTAATGTGTAAATTTCCTGTATGTCGTTACATAAGTTCTACCATAACTGCTAAGTCCATAAATAATGACGGAATCTGCTAGAGCCATATAAAGTAATCTAAGTATATTATATGGTAGCTTAAATTTTAAAACATAAAGTTTACTCAACACAGAGCGAAGTTTTGCACACACGTGATCTTTATGCGCTCTCCAGGAGAATCGTTCATCAATAATCAGACCAACATACATGTGATTTTTGACATTTTCAATGGGTTGACAATTACAGTGTTGAAGTATTCCATGGAGACATTCATGGCTGTGGGAAATGATAATCGGTGCGGTGGCAACTTTGTTGTGAGATTGATGATGAATGAACAAATTTTGTTTTTTGAGCGTTAACCACTAGGCCGACATCATGTGCCCACTTACATAGCATGTCGTAACTTTCCTGTATTTCAGTTTGTGCTACATCCATACTACGATTGGCAATGACGATACAAGTGTCGTCGGCAAATTGATATGTGGAGCCCTTAGTTATTGCATTTACCATATCGTTAACAAATAGCAAGTACTCAATCGGACCCAGTATCGAACCTTGTGCTGTGCCGCGTTCAGCCGCAAACGTATCATCTGTCTGGTTATATATTTTGACAGTGGTATAACGATTTTGAAGATAACTCTTAAGAAGTTCTAAGAACGGTCCTTGAATACCGCTGCGTGATGTCTTATTATATAATGTCTTAAAATTTAATAAATCGAACGCTTTACTAAAATCAATAAATAATACCAAAATATGCATTTTATTATCTAAATGATTATTTATTTCATCAGTAAATTGCCGTAATAGTTGCGTTGTGCTTTTATTTTTTTGAAAACCGAACTGTTTTGAACTTGTTATATTGGTTTTAATAAGGTAATTGTTTAATTCATTGCTCAAATAACGTTCAATTATTTTATTTAGGCAGGAGAGAATAGTTATAGGACGATAATTGTTAAAGTCATTATGTTTGCCTTTTTTTGTAGATTGGTCGGATTACACCTATTTTTAGTAAGTCCGGATAAATAGACGTTTTTAGACATTGATTAATTAAGTATGTAATTAGGGGCACCATTGATTTCGAAATGTATTTTATATCACAAACGCGAATACCATTAAACCCGGGGCTTTTCTTATCATTCATTGTTTTAATAATTTTGGTAACATCAGCATCCGTAGCTTTTTTTTATTTTTACGGTTCTGTCTGGATTAATTTCATAGGAACGGGGATCTAAGAGTGGCTTATTACAGTTTAAGCATATTTTTTTTAACATTTTTATCAAATTCTAAGCCAAATTTATTTGCTAATGTTTTAGGATCAATATTAAATGTTTTTTTGTAATATATCATCAATACAACGTATTATTTTACCAGTTAAATTATTTATTAACTGCCAAAGTTTTATTGGATTTCTAAAATTTTCGCAAATTTCTTTTTTAGTATTTTGATTTCGTAAAAATTGAGCATATTTATTCGTTTTATTTTTATATTTATTGTAATTTAATCTTTTTAATGAATTATTGTCATCTTTCCGCCAGATTTTAAATAATTAATCGCGTTTTTTACACACTCACTCACAACAATTGCGCTTACTAATAACTACAGTTTTTGTATACTTGCATTTATCGTATGCGTAATTCATTTGCGTCCTAATGTAATTAACAATGTCGTTTGGATCGGAGTAACTCAACGGCAACTTCCAATCTATTAAATCGAGTTCACTACGAAGTTGTTTGTTATCTAACTTAGTAGTGAACTGCGGCGCGTTCTGAGCCCGTGAGCCACAGCTCGGATCCGCTCCGAGTCCAACAATCGCACAGCCTATTATTTCATGGTCAGCTGGCGCGATGTTCACGCCGGCCGTCACACCTCGTTCTTGCATACAGTTCTAATCAGAATGTGATCTAAACATGATTTTGTTATTCGGTTCCCGTATTTTTCTATTCTTGTGTATTGCGTTATACCACGGTCAAATCCTAATTCACAAAGTGTGTTAAGATAACTAGTGCTAATGGGATTTGTCGTCTTTGTATTTAAGTTCATGTCACCCATTATTATATAACAAATTTTAGGTGAATGTTTACCAACAATATTAGCTAACTCATCAATAAAACGGACTTTGTTTGTATCAGGTGGTCTATATACAGCACAATAGGCCTACAGTGCCATTTTTTAAGTTTATTTGGTTTTATTAATACATTCGCATTCCTTAGTTGATATTTGAAGTCTGCTAAAATGCAGGGATGAGTGAACATATAGCATAATGCCGCCGCCTTTTCTGCCATTTCTTAGTTCGTAATATAAGTTATAATTTAGTAAATTAAACATGTTGACACAATGATATTGAATATTAGCCTCAGTAACTATGATTATGTGAATTATGTGTGTAGTATTTTTATTATATATTCCAGATGTACAAAATTCTTAAGTAATGTAAAAATAAAAAAAATAATTTAGCCTGTAACACAGTTTTCAACTACCACGGGCTACAGAACTTCAATATGATTTGTTTGTAAAAGTTATGTGAGAAACAATAAATTATTATTATTATTATTATTATTATTATTATAATGATATGTTTACATGAAAAAACAGAAGCGAACAATTATTTAAGGGTAATTTGTCTACAAACTCATTCCAATTATCACAGTTTAACTCAATAATGTTGGGATTTATATCGTGTTCTATTCCTACAATATCCATTATCTAAGGTATAAAATGATATTAATTGAGTATACACAAAAGCAATATTTAACAAAAAATATAAAAGAGAAAGTAAAACAAAAGAAAAATGTTTTCCAGCACTTAACACTTAACTAAAACGGCTTCTTGTTTAATTAATAAGTTTGTTTTGCGAGGCCTTAACCGATTATAATTCAAAGAGAGTGCGCATGGAGATTATTTTCGCCTTTTCTTATTTGCGTATTAGAATTGTGCCATTTCTGCACCATATAAATTTGTAAGTATCTTTAAGGGCTTCCTTGGTCTTCCATAATAAAAATGCAATCCCGGGTGCTAGTGATTCGCGTAAATACACCTTATCGCTACCTTGCAATCCTAGTTCGGCCGCTGTCATTTTTAGGTCCTTGGCTTTATTCAGCCAGATGTCTCGTGCTCCATCTTGCAGCGTAACAATTATTCATTTATATTATAATGTTACGAGCTTGAGGTTCGTGACAATAAAAATTGCCGATAAAATTACCTAAATTAACACTTTAATTTACTTTACACAAATTAAAACTTAAAACACTAATAATTAAACACACTAATTCACTTTATTCCGCTCCGAAGCTTCGCTTGTCTCGCCAAATCCGATACTGCCCCGATCGCATCTTGCAGCGCCTATATATACAAATTAGCAATGAAGCATCCGGAATATTCAAGTAAATGCGCGCAAAGCGACGAGTTGGAAGATTTGTGATGTCATTTTCTGCAAAGCTCCCCTCGCTCTCGTTCCTGACACTAGATGGCGCTAGTGTATAGTCGACTTGAGCGCGTGACAATAATAACCCTTTTTATAGAGTTTTTGTTTAATTAATATTGAAACTTTGTAATAGAGATCTGGTATATTTTCTGGGACTTTGTTGTAATAGCGTATACATTGCTCTAAGAATGAATTACTGACTCTGTGGAGTTGAGAAACTGATAACACTAGCTTGTGTTTATTCCTAATGTTTACAGAGTGTATATCACTTTTTTTACTAAAACTACCTTTGTTTTTGTGTATTAAATTTTCGTATAAGTATACAATATGTAACATAATTAACGCACACCCTCAGACACCCCAATTAGTATATTATGTTATAATCATAATACATACACTGAATTTTTAGTTAAACATTTTTATGCTCTGATTATTTATTATATATATAATTAGTTATACTAATTCCGGAAGAATGGTGTGGTCACAGTACAAATCCACGAACGCAAAGACTAACATGGTTGATATAAAGTTAATTTTTCTTTATTTTTATTGAATGACAGAATTAGTAATAATACAAATAAAACTGCACTCTTAAAAGTCTTATTGCCTTACGTTACGGTACATTTCAGTTTGTTTTGACTGTACAGATTTAGTGTGACTGTAATTTACGTAGTTTTAATTATTTTTGGGATAAAAATTACCTATATTAAAAATGATAGGAATCTATTCAGTAAACGATTCTGAACAAACTACTTTCTCAAAGTGCGTTAATTATGTTACATGTTGCATACTGAGAGGCCAAAGACAATATATTTATTTCTTTAAATTTTTCTCTAAGACTCTCTCGGTCTTAGGTAGTAAACAGCTCTTATGCAAATGCCCTCTTCTGCAAAACAAAAATAGTTTCTAAATCAGCCGAATTTCCTCATAGCAAAATCCCATATGACATGTTATTGGGAGGTATATGGACTTTGATATGCTGTAATTAATGATAAATGATAAATGGCAGTATAAGAAAATCCACCACCCTGTATCATCCCATGGGTGAAATAGGCAACAGAGGAAAACTGTACCAGGAGAAAGGCAGCAGTATCTTCTTTATAATAACCAATAAATAAAAAGACTGCGCTTGCCAACCAAATAGCCAAGCGTGGAAATTATAGCAAATATCTTTCTTATGTGGCACTTGTTTTATTGCTTTGTGGCAATCTTTTTATTTTTTTATAAATAATCATTTTCGACGTGGTAGAGCCACGCTACAGCTATATTATGGTTGTAGCACGAATGGGTCGGCTCGACCAGGAAAGGACCATACTCTTAAAGAATACCAGCGTAAAATAACAGCTTAATACTGCTGTGTTTCGTATGGTGAGTGTAGTGATCCGGAGATCCTTTTTTAACTGGAAACGAGGCATTCTATTTTAGTTCTTGGAGGTGTCAACACATCTGCATTTTGATTCATATGTAGGCAGTAGAAAGGGCAGATGTAGATGTCTGGGCCACAGCAACCACTTACTATCAGGTGGACTGTGTGGTCATTTGTGCTTGTGATAGGCTGTAATGATGATGATGATGATTGAAAATTTTCTGTGATCACAGATCCAGACATTTCGCACCTTTAAAGCTACTGACCGTTGTCGATCTGGGTAAGTCTGTGGTAAACAAGATGGTTTTACTGTTACTTCTATAAAGCTGTAAAAACTTTCTGGCTCGTTCTCTTGCGTGGATATAGGATGCAAGATACGGTTATAAAAATACATTTGATGTCGTTCTTTTTCAGATCTTTCTCGATCACGTCAAATTTCATGTGAGCCTTTCAGAAGGGCTTTGTTCGTGGGCGGGTTGTGGTGCCACGTTTACCCGTCGCACTTTGCTAACAACACATGTGCGTTCCCATACAGGAGAGCGTGTGATAGCCTGTTACCATTGTGGCCACCATTTTGCCTGTAACAGGAAGCTCTGTGACCATTTATTGAGGCAGGTGAGTTAAAAGTCGATTCAACTTGAAATGTGAAACATTTTTTTTAATGAAAGATTTAAAACTTAAATCTATTGATTGCAAAAAGATCTGTCGAGAAGTAAAGTAGTGGGATGTTATGAGATTAAGTTACTTCCTCTTCAGTAAAGTTGACCTAAACGCGATTGTTGACAATGACGTCCCGGGTTCGATCCAGGATCGGGCCAAAAAATCAGTTATTGAGTTTTTCTGTCAAGAAATTCTCAGTAGCAGGTCGTAGTCAAAAAGTAGGCTGTGTTTCACCCTCGTGCATTGTATTGCACTATAATCCTGTCCTGTGTAGACTAATCTCCAATGGAACTTGACCTAAAATCGATCAGGAGGACATTTTTATAAGATTAAGCTGTTAGCCTATACTCAACCAAATCTAAGAAATACCTTTTGACTTTTGACATTAACTATTCTGCAATAAGTTTGCACAAGTGTACTCACACGGTTTAAAATAACCTTTTACCTAAATCCAAAGAATTATAATATATTTATAATATACATTACAACATGTATAGTACTTTTTAACTAATTTAAAATTGAACCGTCCAAACAAAGCAAAATATAAAAACTAATTAGAATTAACTTATTAGTTTGACGTTCTTTCAATGATATGCCTTTATGTTTATCTTACCGTAGTCATAGTCTGCTACTAACAGTCTAGACGGGGCAATCGTGCGGTACGATACGGGGCGAGACCCGTCCAGAAAGTTCCCGAGCGGCTGTCGGTAGTTCGGGAACTGTATTATAGCGGGGTGTACGCTATGTTTGTCCTGTCACGCAAATAAATTAAAATGGTTCACAAAAATATAGTGTTAAATAAGTAGTAATAACACTCAAAAATAAGTTTAAACTGCTTGTATTGTATTCGACAGTTGACAATTTTTTATATATTTTTTTTGTAACTGGTTATTATAACTTGGTATATTTATTATTTCTGAACAGATATTGTCTGTTAAGGGCCTATACTAACTCAGCTCAAATTATGATTTCTTAAATTTACGTGAACACTACACATTGAATAAAACTATTATTTACGGATTTTATCGCGTTTAATTCAACTTTAATTTATTTTTATTATCCCGACGTTTCGGGTGCTTTACAGCACCCGTGGTCACGGGGGGACTGAGATGTTTGACGTCCCAATGTCATAGTTAGTCCGGCTACCTTCAGTTTTTGAATATTAATTTTTGGTCCGATTTACGCAAAATGAGCTTATAGTATCATGAAGTCTTGCAGTGGTACGCTTGGGTTTGGGTTTAATTTTGCAAATTATAGGATCCCAAGCAGCTGGCAGCACCCATCCATCTTCTCTATTGAAATTTGGATGAAAAACACCGATTCCTACCAAGAATGATATGCGAGGCTATTGAAATAAAAAAAAAACATCCAAATTTCAATAGAGAAGATGGATGGGTGCTGCCAGCTGCTTGGTATCCTATAATTTGCAAAATTAAACCCAAACCCAAGCATACCACTGCAAGACTTCATGATACTATAAGCTCATTTTGCGTAAATCGGACCAAAAATTAATATTCAAAAACTGAAGGTAGCCGGACTAACTGTGACATTGTGACGTCAAACATCTCAGTCCACCCGTGACCACGGGTGCTGTAAAGCACCCGAAACGTCGGGATAATAAAAATAAATTAAAATTGAATTAAACGCGATAAAATCCGTAAATAATAGTTTTATTCAGCTCAAATTCTAATTTCGCCCCCACTTCCCCGCGCGTCGTGTGCTATGTACCGACATGTTTGTAATCACTAATACTGTAAGTAGAAAGGTCGTTAGACACTTATTTCATTAGGTTTGTCATATTTATGCCTGTTTCTTAACGCCAACCCAGTCGCTTCTTATTTTTATTACGGTTATTTGCCATTTAAATTTTTCATAGCTATCCCGTTAGAAAGCCGAAGCGAGACTGATCGGGCGGCAGGGAACAAGCTTCAAGACGCCTATAGTTTAGGTAATTTTTTTACAGTGAAAATAATGGTAATAAAAAAATAAAAAAACAAGCCCTGCTTTATAGTTAGTTCAGTTAGTATGCAAAGTGTCATGATCTAATTTAAAGTATTTTATGAATACCGGCGGTTTATTGTTCAATTTGGAGGTAACTTTGGATTTTTTTCTATCGAGAAAATTTTACGGAATCGTGTTTTCGTCTAACATAGTACTTAACATTAATCCTCAACTTTACCATTTATTTATTTCAAAATTAATGCTGCAATATTTTTGACAACGGAGGATCTTGCTAAGTCATTTGAGGTAGTATAGGCCCTTAAGTTATTTAAGTTGTTTATACTGAAATAAAATAAAATATGTTTTATTTTTATTACTTCCCGTTCTGGTAACCCTAGAAATTTATTGTTTCTGTCACCTTTTCCGACAATATCAAACGCGATGACTGACTGTATGTTCTTCTTAGGCTGTGCCGTAGTGTTTGAAATGATTCCAATTCATGCTAACGTGAATAATCCGTAAAAATATAAAAATATTCATGCTAATGTGAATAATCAGTAAAAATATAACAATAATGGAACCTTTACATTTTATTTATTTATTATTTGTTGTGACCAACTAACTATACTTTAATTGTTGGAGTGCATTTTGCTAATGCTTGTGAGTTTTTTTCCGTTTTTCTTAGGCAAACTATCGATATAATATCGATATGGTTCTTGTTAGTCGATACGCTCTTGACAGAGCGGTCGTGGTCGTCACTTGGGTGTTGTGGCTCGCTTTACAATACGCCTCCACTCCTCCCTAACAGCTGCCTTTCTTGTGCACACATGCAACGGGACATCCACCGCAGCCCTCACCTGGTCTGTCCATCTCATAAGCGATCTGCCACGCGCTCTAGTGCCCTCTACTCTTCCCTGGACCACTAGACGTTCAATCGAGATATCATTACGTCTAGACACGTGACCAAAGAAAGTGAGTATGCGAACTTGCACAATAGATGACAGACGTTGCTTGATGCGGAGTTCTTCGAGAATGGACTTATTGGTCCGGAATTCGGTCCAGGACACTCTCAGCATTCTTCTCCAGCACCACATCTCGAGAGCGTCTATTCTCTTCTTCTCACTTTCTCGCAGGGTCCATGTTTCCGAAGCGTAGAGGAATATGGGGAACACAAGCGCTCTAACTAACCGAGTCTTAGTGGCTTTTGTTATGTTACGGTTCCGTCGTTTTATTTCATCTATGCAGCCCCCGTTGCTCGAAATTAGCGCTCCTAAATAAATGTATGATTGGACTACTTGACAGTTCGCGATTTGTGTCACTTCCGGCGAGTTATTGTTGATGCGATCGACAATCATAACTTTAGTTTTGCTGCGAAGGCCGAATTCAAGACTGACGTTTTCCATCCTTTGTAGGAGTTCTTCCATATGGCCGATACTAGTCGCAAATAGGGTAGTGTCATCCGCGTATCGTAAGTTCGAGATTTTCAGCCCTCCAATTGAGATTCCATCAGTCCAGTTCTCGAGAGTGCGTCTCATTATTAGCTCTGTGTAGATGTTAAATAGAAGTGGGGAGATTATACATCCTTGACGAACGCCAGCACTAGGATGAAAGTGATCTGACAGCTTGTCGTCTGTTCTTACGGATGCAGTACCACCTTCGTAAAGACACCTGAGCAGATGTACCAGATGTTTTGGTGTGCCCATTCTCAGCAGGGTGTCCCAAAGTTTAGGCTATCGATATGGTAGCATCGCAATTAATTTGTGCGTCTTACACTCATAACTTTTTCTATGTTGATCTATTTAATCTATATGTGTGCGTAAAATGTAATAGTGTTAGAGATTTAGATTTTTTTGTGCCATAATGACACAAAAATTTATTAAGTAGGTGTGCAGTATGGTCTATGTAGTGTTTCGTCATCCCGCACAAAAAGCGAGACTTTTCTGTTCGTAGCATTAGGCGCATTAATCTAGGTTCACATACCCATCGGAGCACTTGTTTCATTATTTCCACCTTAGAGTAATGCGCCTAATGCTATATGAACAACATAGCATTAGGCGCATTACTCGTCCATTGGATTGAGTGGTCTAAGGTTATAAGCGAATTAATTTAATTTACATAACTTTATGCCTAGAAATCAGCGGTAAGTAATAAATATTTAAAAAAAAGAACTGATAAATTTTGTGTATTGGTTTATCTGTTAGTAATTTGTTCTGGTATTAATCTGGATAAAACTGTAAATGATTACCAAGTTTAAAGAATCGGTACAGATTTCTCTTAAATATCGAATATCTTAGATACCGATTTTTCAGTTGGATTGCCCAGTCCAATAAATATGACAGCTGTCAAAAAGTATTTCTTAGACTTAGGTTTGATGAAGTATAGGTATGTTCCACTGTTGGACACAGGCTACCTGTTACATCTGAAAGGTCTTTCTTTGAGCAGTGGTTTTCACACCATTTTAATTCTAGTTGGCACACCTCGCATATTAGATATATTTTTAAATTCTCTGCCAGGCAAATTTCCTTAAGATGTTTTGCTTTACCTCTGATCACATGGTAAATCGACACTTAAAATTACCCTTAATAATTTCAGTGCAGTCGTCGGATATCAAACAGCAAGCGCTAAGTCTTCGACCTATGGCACCTTACCGTGACTATTAAATGTTATAGTAGTTAAGTTATATGTGGTTGGCAAGCGTGTTTTGATGATTGAAAAAACGTATTTGAGATATGGTTGATTAGTATTATTCTAGATTTTGTTATATTGTAGAATTTTATTATAATTTATATATTCTGACAGCTTTTTGTGTATTTTGCTGGATATAGGCCTTTCCTTTGCGGTTAAGGTTTTCGTGAATGTGATTTCGTGATGATGACCTTTGTGCTAGTGACGCTCCCGGCGAGTTACCGAAACAGCGAGCTAAATATCATCTGTCTTGCAGAACGTGAACCCGCAGACGAGCTACCACTGCTCGTTCTGCGGTTTGGGCTTCGCGAGCGCGTACCTCGAGCGGGAACACTCGCGGCAGCACGTGTCGCTGTACGCGTGCAGCCTCTGCGATATGTCCGCGCCCACGCTCTCCGCGCTCGCGCTGCACGTGCGCTACCGTCACCTGGGCGCGCACGCACACACACACGCCTGCCCGCACTGCTCCCACCGGTGCGTGCTGCTTGTACACATTCACATACATCCACACAAATACACACACACACACACACGCTGCACGTGTGCTACCGGCTCCTGGGCGCGCACGCACACATGCACGCCTGCCCGCACTGCACCCACCGGTGCGTGCTGCTTGTACACACACACACACACACACACACACACACACACACACACACACACACACACACACACACACACACATACATACACGCTGCACGTGCGCTACCGGCTCCTGGGCGCGCACGCACACATGCACGCCTGCCCGCACTGCACCCACCGGTGCGTGCTGCTTGTACCCATGCACATACAACCACACACACACACGCTGCACGTGCGCTACCGGCGCCTGGGAACGCACACATGCAAGCCATCCCGCACTGCGCCCAAGGTGCGTACTGCTTGTACACACATACAAACACACGCGCTGTTCGTGTGCTATCGGCACCTAGGCGTGCACACACACGCACCGCCTACCGGTGCTTGCTGCTTCTACACACACACACACACACGCGCGCGCGCGCTGCGGTACCGGCACCTAAGCGCGCACGCACGCACACACACACACACAGACACAATACATACGCACTTACACATACATGTTGCACGTGCAATACCGGCACCTGTTCGTGCACAAACATACGCACGCCAAACGCGCACACATAAACACACATACGTGCACAGGGAGGAGAGGGAGGCACGTACGTTATACCCTTAAGCTACAACCATGAAAAACAGAATAGTAGGATAACTCCCGCGCCGCGCGAGATTTATGACAAATGCCTACTATTGCAGGGTTGTCACTGTCTTTTTGTTTAACAGCTAAGTCTCATTTAGTTTTATAAGTAGTTATAATATTTAAAAACATAATACATACAGATACATACCTATGCATCATATTTGTTAATCATTTCTTTAGTTTTCTCTCAAAGAATCAATGTTTGTCAAAAAAAATCCTGCTTTACATTACAGCAAATGCCAAAGAACTAAAATACGAGTAAATTAACACTGAGCATATGGTGTCAGTTCAGATTTAATGATATAATATGATAATTAAAGTACATAAAAGGTACGTATTTATATATAGATATAGTAATATAACCTATTGATATAAAGCTATTTTTCTTAATAAAACGCCAATAGTAATTTACTTTACAAAAAGACAAATAAAACGAAAAAATACTGCTAGCAAAATTTTATTAAGTCATCCGTCTCAAAGGTGATTGCGGAGCGCGGCGGTGGAGGTTACTGACAGCCCGATCTTTCCGACTTAGCAAGTGTCGTTGTGTGCGTGATGTGGCCCGTGTGTACGAGTCCGTACTGACACGTGCCAGGCACGCACACATATTAGCGGCGCGGCGTTCGGTACATTTCTGAGAAGCTAGCCTACTATTCCGTTTTTACTACGCTACAAAGAACCTAAAATTACTTTGGAATCCTGACTTATAACTTAACATAACGTAATAAATAGAGATATATTCATCTTGCTCACGCATTGTACTGTTTGAATGTATTAAATTATGAATAGTTCTTTTCCAAAAATAATCGTATATTTTTATAGTTTTTCATTACCGCTACATACAACCACTTAATCAAAACCTTAAGATTATACTTTAATTATCTAACCTTCCTGTTCAGTATCGTCCTCTTACCGATAGGTAAGCCTACTGCCAAGCAACAGTGTAGCTGCTGCTATGTTCCGATTTGAAGGGTTAAAAAAACCGGTAAAATGAAAGGAGAGTTTTGATATGAGCTATGGAAAGTGACGCTACAGTTAGACAATTCTATAGTGCAGTGTTTAATTGATTAGCGCTTTGGTCTCATCGATTATTAGCGTTCCATTGCTATTATCGTCGTCATAGTATCTTTTAAGTCAAAATGTACTGACTCTATAACACGTTGAGTGACTAAACTTTCCAGACTTGTACGGGGTACCGTAGGTATACAATAGTGATTACAACAAGACGAAATAGAATGAGACCACTTAGTCGAACACTCAGTCTACTCTAGTGCAGGATAGTTCGAAATACAATCAGTGGGGTTACCTTCAAGCCAATAAGCCCAGCATGTGCCCTATTAGCCGTTAATTGGGATAATATTTAAATTCTAGATTTTCCCGCTAAAATAATTCTCTTATACAGGGCGGTAACAAAATGCGATTTACGTAAACACATTCTAACGCACACTCGCAAAAAGAAGAAAAAGAAGGTGGAAATCAAAAATGAGGAAGGAATCAGCGATAGAGAATCATTAGAGGAAGAGAATTCAGACGAAGAAGTGGTAAAGAAGCCCAAGATTCCGAGGAAGTATGCGTGCCACATGTGTCCGGAGAAGGAAATGAAGATATTCTCAAGAGGTACACGGTTGACCACGCATCTCATCAAAGTCCATGGCGCACAGTGGCCTTTTGGACATAGTCGGTTTAGGTAAGAACAAGCATATTCTAAGCTAGAGTTAGAAAAACTCGAAAGTCGTTTTTTCTTTCCCAAAATCATTTTTTAAATTATATTTGCTTATTGGGAAATAAAATCCGATTAAATCAGCTAGCGCGAGTGTACGGTGAGAGTACGTAGTGTTAAGGGGGAAGAGAGACCTATTTATTGTTCTAACAAAGTTCTTTCCAGATGTTTATGTGTCGTGGTCGAATGTGATGAGCGTAAAGTATATATACGACCACTGTGAAGCGTTTGACTTGGGTATTGCGAGCATTCTATCCCTACAAATAATTGTACGGGTGTTTGTGTAATTTGTGTAGATCAAATGTTTTTGACACATCTGTTTCCGTTTTTTTTTTTAATAAAATAAGGGTGACAAATGAGCATACAGTCTACGTGATTGTAAATGGATGCCGTGGTTCATCTACATCTACATCTATCCTCGATTAAGAATCAAAAGGCAGATGCGTTGTCACTCCTGAGGACTAAGATGAAATGCCTAGTTTCCAGTAAAAAGCCTCCGGTTCTCTGCACACACCATACGAAACACAGCAGCCCAGCGTGGCCCTTCTCCGATCGAGCCTACCCTTTCTTATTACAACCAAAATATAGCCACAGTATGACTGTACCACGTATGAGCTCAACCACATATTTTATAAAGAGATAAAGCACGAAACTTATGCTGAGTCGTTGGGAAATTTCGATAGCGTGATATAAACCGAAGTGGGTTTATATACGTCTTCTGCTAAATTGATAATGGTATGACGTAAATTTCATTTCTATATTACAGATATCAGTTAAGTGAAGACGGTATGTACAGGCTCACGACAACCAGAATCGAGGACCTGGAGGTTTCCAAAAAGATCGTCGACGGTTACAGCGGACCGAAGAATACGTTAACAAACTCCTTCGAGTTCGATGTGAAGCAAATAGCCGAGCCGACGGAATCTACGCCCACGCATTTTATGATCACAATGAAGAGTAACGATGTAGAGAATGTCAAAATTGAGCAGAAGGAGGAGAAAAACGACAACTCTGTGGAAATAACTATGTGTGATGTGGACGAACATGGGAACATTATCAACTCTAAAGTTATTAAGTCGGACGTCGTGTATGCCTAAGTTTTTCTGTGATAATTATATAAAATTGATCATTAGCTTAAGCATTATTATATAGATATATTGTACTAAGTGGTACGGTTCACTTTCTGTCTGGGTACGCATAGTGCAACCACAGTTTGATTCCGGTTCGAATAGGTACTAAGAGAGCCAGCATAGTTACAGACTAGATATGTGCATTCATTCATTTCTAGTGACCGACTACAGTCCGAATCCCGAATGATCTTTCAGATCATTCGATTCGGTCAGTATTCGACTCATTCACAATTCACACCAATCACGAGTTAAAATGGTTCCGTCAATTGTTTGTGATTGGTCGAACCGGAACATTCAAAAACTGATAAATGAATCATCAATACTTTTAAGTGTACCACCTAGATCGAACGAATCATTCGTGATTGACACATATCTATTACAGACTACGAGGTATTTCATCTTGGTTCTCGAAGGTCTGAAGTTTGTAAAGTGGTCTGGAAGTATTTCAGACAAAAAAAAATTATCGTGTTCCCTAATTTGAAATCTTTAAGAGAGGACAAGGTCAAATATTTTAAAAACCACCGAGATGACGCGTGATTTTAGAGACATATATCCTTTATTTATATCCTATGTCCTTTGTTTCATCTTATCAAATCCTCTAAAAAAATGAAACGGGAGCTGGCAACCACAGTTGCAGGCGTCCATGTGTAGCCCTTCTGACCAGAACATACCAATGGCAGAAATATTTAAAAACGTGGTATCTGCCCAGACGGACTCGTATGTAGAAAAATAGTACTACCAACTTTACTAGTGCTGACTGACATTATAATAGTAATTTAAAATAGTTATTAATAAACAAAAACTTGAAATGAATTTAAGCTGCCCGATTCTGCCTACCCGTCGAAATGGCGAGGACACTAAACTGCATGTTTAAAAAATAACATAACTATCTTACAAATGAATGGCTTTGTCCAGCTTTAGGAGTATGTAAGCTGATGCCATTTGCGGTTTATATTATTTATTATTAGTATTTTGAGATTAAACTAAAAAATTCAATTAAGGCCATGGAACTTTCCAGATAGTTCGACATACATTGGACAAAATTTTCTCCACATGGCATTACTTGTTAAAAACACGACTGTCAAAGTGACATTTCGCTTAGTATTGCGCACTAACTTCATGCGTTGTAGCGTTGGCGGGAACTTATCTACAATCGCATTGTTATTTATGGACTGGATTAAACTTTATACAAAAAAACTACTTCATAAATCAAAAAAAATATAAAAAAGTACAACCTCGTTGCTTCCCTATAATTCTTCGATGCAATATATAATATCCAAGCAAGTACTTTTTTTTAAAGTTTAACTATATTATTGTTTTACACTAGAATAAAAACTATTTTTAACGTTAAGAACGTTAAAAGCTTTATCCCGTTTTTCCACCTTTAACATTTTATAAGATTTATAAGGGGTGGCCTTTAATAAAAAATATTTGCACATCCTGAAGTCGGACTTTAGTTATTTCATACATTGTCCTAAGCATTAGCATTTATTTTAGGAGCTATTATGCGAAAAAATATTTTATTATTTTTAATACTTGATAATTGATAGTGCTTTTTGAATATTTTAATTTTTAAGTCAGTTTTTACTTTTTATACATTTTTTTTACTCTGTGTGGAATAATATCATAAACTCAAGGTAAGAATGTCGTTTAAATAGTTACAACAAAAAACATTGTCTGCTTTTTTCCACTTTTAAATGTGGATTTTTCTTCAAACCTTAACCCGTGAATTGTAGCTCATACAATAAAAAAATTATATCAGTTCAGTCGTTTCTTCAAAATAGTCAGGTATCCATAAAAATCCCAAACAAAATTTCCTAAAAACTTCACAATGTTATGCATTAAGATATTGTAAAAAAATTGTTGAAAAACTAAGGAGTAATTTTTCAATCATCAGTTATTAGTTGTTCTTAGAATACAAGTGGTAAAATAAAAAAATTGTACATTGACTTCGATATTCCAAGTCAATTCAATATGCATTATTAACGATTACTCAACAAGCTACTGGTAAGATCTTGAACAAATTTATAGGGCCTACATGAGAAACACCAGCTTACAAATAAAAAAGTATCGTCATAATCGGTTAAAATAGAAAAAAGTTCTGTGGTAACACACTTTAAAAAAATACAGTCCAATTGAGAACCCCCACCTTTTTTGAAGTCAATTGAAAATACAACAACAAAATCACAATTGTACTAATGAAATAGAGGCTAATTGAAGAATATAAAAGTGAATGAATGGATGAATTTCTATATTTTGCGAATATGGGTAATAAAAAATGTGATGACAAATATATAGTGCAGATTCCACCATATTTTACCAGAAGGCATGTAGAAAATATGAAAAGATTGAACTATTTTTTTATTAATACTGTACCTGTAACTGTAACTTTCATTTGTAGTTTTAGACGCTGCCAAGCGTACTAATCGTACAAGTCCTTGACTAAAGAAAAGCATCTTTAAGTGTGTTTTGTTTTTTTAATTAATTGTTACTACTGAAACTTTATAAACAAAATAACTAATAATCGCAAAATAGCGGCGTTTAGAAAATTACGCTTAGAGAAAAAAGAGAATGTAAAATTAACGATTTTTATTATTTTTTATTGTCACTACTTTTTATTTAGAAAAAGAATTTGAAATCTTATCATGTGCGTATGGTATTATTATCTCTTGAAAAAATTTTTGAATAATTAATTGTATAATTTAATTTTTTGTACTTTTAATTCGTTTTAAGATATTGGTTTTACAATTTAGAAGATTTTGTAATAAGGCATTGATTATAAAGATTGAAGATCCAAGTATTTATTAAAACTCTTATAGTATAATTATTTCGTGTTTTATTTCGTAGTAATAATTTATTTTAAATTTTAACTGGGGAAACGGTATAGTTATTGGCCAGTTAAGCTACCTTATAACTTCAATTGTAAAAAATAAAATAATAATATGATAGTTTTAAATAAAAATATTTTTAATTATATTCACTTAGCGTATATAAATCAAATAATATTGTTTACATATTCTTATTTCTTATATTTTCGTAATAAAATTATAACAAAAACACAATCTTCAAATTTACAGTAGTTGGCCACATATTTACAGTTATTGGCCAGAAATTGGCTCAGTTATCGGCCATACAAAGCAAAAAATAAAATCACTCACATCTACTAAGAATTAGAAACGTATCGAACTGAATCTGTATATTGTTAGCTTTACCCCCTCCTACTATTAATCATAGAAAACAAAAAATAAAATCACATACACTTTAACAAAACGATTCCCGTATAATTCCACCCTTTGAATTAATACATATTATTATTGACCTCATCCTCTGAGTCATCATTCAATATATAACAATTATGACATATAAAATCTAAAATATCTTTTTATCTGGGATATGCTCTCTGTGCTTAATAGGAATGCACTGATTATGATACGATTTCTTGCATGAACTACACAAAGATTTACTTTTTAAAGCTAGACTGCATAAATTACAAGTAATCAGTAACATGTTGTGTAATATCTTTATTTTATTAGTAGATTCACTTAAAACGTTTTTATTTATAGTCTCAACGTTACTAGTGCTTCTCTCTATGTCATGCTGTTTCTCAATTTCTCTTCTTTCAATAGTTGCTCTAAAGTTCTCGGAAGTTATTACATAAGGGTTCTTTTCCGTCTTCCTGATAAATTTTCTTTTTTTTACTGGGGGATTTAGAGAGGCTTATCTTTTGATGTAGATGGTGTGGATAAATCTAAAACAATATTTTTTGTAGGAGTCGTGGTGATTTTTACTGTTGTTACATTATCTTCGTTGCTCAGATTTACATTGGTTGTTGTATTTATTGGAGATTGTATTTCTACATTTGTTGATTCTTTCAGTGGAAAATCACCTTGAAAAAAGACCACAGCTTGTACAAGGTCGGAGAATTGACATTTACCCCCTGAGATTGTAGAACTTTCATTTTTCTAATTATTTCCTCTCCTATAATACTTTCAAAGTCTTTAAGAGACATCATTTTATTTTCTTCTTTGGACTTTTCTCCCTTATTATTTGTTGCTAGACATTTGGTGTAATTTATAGCATTTTCATTAAAAGGGTACAAGCCACAGGCTTTGAAGCCACTAATTATGTTATCGGGCTTTATCTCTTTTACAACAGATTTTAAAATACTGGCAATATTTAATTTTGTCACTACCTCGCCCATGTTATGTGCCTGAAATTTTGCTACTTCTTTTCTATATATCTTTTTTATTGGTCCGAAAACAGACACATCTGCAGGTTGAGTAATACGGATAGTGTTAGGGTACAGTGCAATCAACTCTATGCCTAGCTCTTTGCACGTTAAGCTAAGCTGTAGTGTAATGTGACTCTTGTGGCCATCAATAAATAAAATTACTGGTTTTGGTATATTGTGTTCGGTAAGATATGGAGCAAATATTTCCGTTATAAACTGATTGAACACGTCTGACGTCGTCCACCCCGTACCGTATCACTACGGTCGATACCCCATTTTGGCGGCACCGAAGATGCTACCCTATCGGGTAACCTCTTATATGGAAATACTATCAATGGAGGGCATGTTATGCCGTCAGCAGAAAAAGTAAAGAGAACGGTTACGCTTTCCTTAGGGTTTCCCTGCTGCACAGCATAGACATTTTTATCTCCTTTTGCATCGAGGACACGTCCAGTGGAAGGGCACGTCTGGAATCTTGTCTCATCGGCATTAAAAATCCGACGAGGATCCTGAACGACATCTAAAAGGTTTTCATTAGTAAGGTAGTTTCTTATTTCTTGAAACCATTTCTTAATGTCACATTTAGCTACACAAGCGCTAGCTTTCGTTACACCTTCGCTAGTTCTTTGGGTCAAGGTAGGGTGTCGTTTTAAAAAAGCCTTCAGCCATCCCTGTCCAGGCCTATTATTAACGAAAGGAGTTTCTCTTGGATTTTCAGTCAAAAAATTTTGAACGTTGTCTAGTACATCTTCTGGATTTTCTTGGGAAGCCTTTGCGGGCATTTGAATTAACCATTCCTCAATGGAATTTTCTTCTTGTTTTGTTAAATAGGGTGTTGAACCAAATCCAGACTTTGAAGTAGGTTTTTTAGTTTAAGTTGTAAAGTTACTCTTGGAATGTTATATTTTTTTGCAACAGCTCTCAAAGACATTGTTTTACTATGAATTTTTTCTAAAGCCTCATCTAGCGCTTCTTTTGAATAGTGAGGTATTTTTGGCATGATTCTTTATCCTTTAATCTGTTAGAAAAAAAATAGTGATTTCTTTAAAATAAATGAATTAATATTATAGTAATTGGCCTACTTTTTATATGGCTTAGAATTACATGTGACACAGTACTTGGCCTAGGCCAATAACTATTAATATATCTTTAAATTTTATGAGAATAGAATGGGCGGTGAATATCGAAAAGTAAAGCACCACAAGTAAAGACCCACTAAAACGCACTACAGTGCGTTCACGAAATTTGGCGGCTGGGATCAATCCGAACAATTCCTCAGAGCACTCCCCGTGATAGATGCGATAAAATACGCAAAGAGATGCAACATCTCTTCGCAACACCAGTGAATCGAGCCGATCGGAAAGCACTCGGTCGTCGACGATTCGAACCGCTCTCCGCTGGATGCAGTCAAGTGGAAGGAGCAGGTACTGGGGAGCTCCAGCCCAGAGATGGGAATAGTATTTCATGTGCGGCCGGACCTGCGCCTTGTAAAGTTGCAGGCGGTGTGCCGGCATGAAATACTGTCTTGAATTTGGCCTTCTCTTCCAAGTGACCACGAAACTGTACGTCACTCGATATGGCGACGCCGAGGATTCCGATACTGGCTGAGGCAACAAGGGGAGTGCCTTGAAACTGAGGAGATAAGACAAAGGGTTTTTTTAGCGGTTAACGCGCAAACTTGTGTCTTCTGAGGGTTAAACTGGACTAGATTAAGTCGCCCCCAATCAGAGACCCGTCCCGGTACTCGGAGATGTTTTCCCGAGAAATATGCGCACGGCCGGTGTACCGAGCATCACCAGTGCTGTCATCTGCATAGCAGTGAATGTTACGGGTTTGCAACATATCATTTATATGCAGAAGAAACAGCGTTGGCGATAGCACGCAGCCTTGTGGAACACCAGCATTAATAGGCTTGTAATCGGAGCTTGCACCGTCTACAACGACCTTGATGCTCCGATCTGCAAGAAAGCTGGCGATCCAATTGCATAATTTCTCGGGAAGCCCATAGGAAGGGAGCTTCGAAAGAAGCGCTTTGTGCCAAACCCGATCGAAGGCCTTCGCAATGTCCAAACTAACGGCCAATGCCTCCCCCCTTGGACTCTACTGCCTGCGCCCATCTACGAGTTAGGTAGACCAGAAGATCACCAGCTGATCGACCACGGCGAAAACGGTATTGGCGATCACTAATCAGCTGGTGATCCTCAAGGTACCTAAAATAATTTAATGTAAATTTTCATTAAAATTATCTAAACTTAACTTTGAATAAATAGTTTGGCACTTCTGCTTCTACGAGCCTCTTTTTTCTAATGTATGAAATAATAAATGAGGTATAGGCTACTTTTATTTAAAAAAAGAATTAGGGTTCTGCACATAAAAATCAAAACCCGTGAAATCCATTGTAATAGATTCCACGCGGACGAACTCGCGGGAACAGCTAGTCCCTTATAGAAATGATGTTAAAATCACAAAATGTAAAAACTGTGTTAAAAGTAGTTTTGAAGTAGGGTAAGCTTATAAGTAATACGATTATGATATTCATTTAAAACATTTTTGTAAACGCAAGAAGATTATAAGGTATGTTATAGAGCTTCAAGCGGAGCTTTAAATTAGAGAAGCTTTAGGATGCATAACTAAGCTATTACTTAAAATTTGAAACTTGCGTGAAATAAGGCCTTAATACTTACAAGCTAGCATTACTTGTGTTCTGCCACTCTTCACTCCTTAATTCGCACTTTATTTTACAACAGCGATTTATATCCTTGGGTCGCGATCTAAAGGATTTGGAAGGGTTTCACACAGAATACCAGCGTAAAATAGCAGCGCAATGCTGCTGTTTCATATGGTGAGTGTAGAGAACCGGAGACCCTTTTACTGAAAACGAGGCATCAGCTATTTGAATCTTATTAGATGATAAATGCAGATGTCTATGGGCCGCAGCATCCACTTCCAGGTGGGCTGTGTGCTCGCTTGTCACCCTTATTCTATAAAAAAGGGGCTTTAAATAAAATTAAAGGTAACTATGCCATACTAATAATTAGCAACACGTCAGACAATCAAGCGCGTAGGCTTAAATGGCCTGCCATTTTCTGCCCAATAGGTTGCCATGGTAGGTGTCACCTAATTATCTATTTCCGTTGCCTGATGATGTTCCGATTTCTTCGTCCAAAATGGGGTTGTCAGTGTTATTGTGCCATTTTAGTCCGCGGGGGTGGCAATGCTTTTCTTTGTTAAAATTGTTAGCAGGCAATTATGACATCAAACCTGTAGTGATCTATTCCCATGAACTCTAGTAGTCTATTGCCATAAGGTGGTATCAAAACATTTTTTATCATCCCTGTGCTGTGGAGTTTAGGAGTGAGCTGAGTTGGTAAAGCTTCGTGGAAGTCACTGCGTACGGAATTTTTTGCACCATAAACATTTCTAAAATGTTAGGTCTTTCAGATGTCAGGGTTATTACAACAAAAATACGTCATTTAATATTGGCTCAAAATAAGTATCTTTAATTCAAATTAATACAACAAATAGATATATTTAAATTACAAAAGCAACCACCTTTGTTTTTATATTTGTTTGTATTATATTTATGTTTCGATTTTATGAAGACATAAAAAATAATTACATTTTTAGAAACAAATATTTAAACAATACAATATTACGTAATAATTATGACGTTAATAATACACAAACAAATTCCAAAAAAGGATTAGTTCTTTTTCAGAACACTAATTAATCGTTCGGCTTCTCTAAAACCAGCCTCCACCGCTCCGTGTGCGGCTGAATGTCTATGGTGCGAGGTTGCCTCGCCCGCGAAACAAACAACCGGAAAGTTGTCGCCATGATACAGCGGCTCGCTTAGTATAGCCGCGCTGCCGCCATCTTGCTCTGTGGCTACACTACGATACGAGTAAGAGCCCCTTGCCAATGGATTAGACGCCCACTGCGATCTGAAAGTACCGTAATTTTTTGTCAATCCCCGTGATTCAGTAGGGAGTCGTTTTCCTGGGTTTTATGTCCAGTTGGTGTGAGTGTGAGTCTTATTACGGATCTACATGGAACAGAAGTACTCTGTGCAGACAAATATTAACTTTTCCATCTATAACTAAAACTGTGGTTAGGCAACCACAGTTTTTTTTATTGACGCGTTATTCAGGAAGACGATGTTGCCATCTTCTGTTTCAGATTCCCTGTATCGTCTCTTACGTCACGCACGGGACGATATGAGGTATTGGCTATGTTTTCACCGCCACTACAAGGTGTGCAAATATAAAAGTGTAAGTATAAAATAATTAATGCCCCACTTGAGAATGTGAAAATGTGAAAAAAGTCGTCTTTTACTGTTTATTAAATATTAGTCTACCTAAACCTTTTGAGTGGACTTAGGAACATCACAATCTCAATGTCGTCTAAATAGTTACTTACATTAAAAGCTTCATCCTCTATTTTGCTGCGCTGAGGAGTGTTAATTTTTTTTATCATACCTTGCTTGAAAGTTCGTATTTCGACTCCATTTTCAGAGACGAAAGCCACATTGTCTTAACAAAATGATAGATACGCATTTTGGTTTTTACAACGCATTCACGTACATTTTGATTCTTAATCAAGGATAGATGTAGATGTCTGTGGGCCACAGCATCTATTACCATCAGGTGAGCTGTGTGTTCGCTTGTTATCCTTATTCAATTTAAAAAAAAACTTGCCTCACAACCGCTTTGATCGGAGTAACGTCGAATTGCTTCTTGAATATACACAATAGTTTATTCAATCCAGCCTTGACTTGTTCTAAGCTGGCTTTCTCCATTTTCTCGGCCGCTTTTCCATAGATCCAGGCGAGCAACAAATTCTGCTGGTGCTCCACAGTAAACAGGGTGAAAATTTCCGTGACCCATTTTTCATCTTCAGAGAACTTAGCTTTGTCTTCATCCCGCCAAAGCAGGGTGAAGTTAGCTGGTGTTTTAGGCCACCAGGGCTTGGTGAATTCGATGTAGATTTTGTCGAGGACACAGAGCTGAAGGGTGTTGATTGCGTTGGTTTTTTCTGCCGACAACGGCGGGTTGAAGAGTTGGCTGTGTCTGGAAATATTTATGTGAAATTGTTATCAAATATTTTAGAAAAAAAAACAGTTATTACAATGTTACGAAGGCGTTACTTATCATTTAATAAAAGGAGCTGTGGCCTGAGTCATCTACCCATCACATCCTATAAAAGTTCACTGCGGAACATATGCCTGCCCCACAGATTGCCTCAAAGAAGGAATTTTGTCGTAGTTGCCTCACTTGGCACGCAGTTTGGCAAACGCAATTATTTTTAATCATTTTGAGATGAAGATGTCCATCTCATGTTTCAGTTTCCCTCTGTTACCTCTTACGACACCCACGGGACGATATGGGCTAGTGAATATTCTTATACCGCCACTATATAGTTAAAAATAAATCGATAGCCCGAATTTTACGTGGTAGGGCCATGCTGCAGTTATATTAGTAGTATAGTTGTGGCACGAATGGGTCGGCTCAACCGAGGAAGGACCACGCTCTCACAAAATACCAGCGTCAAATAGTAGCTTAATGCTGCTGTGTTTCGTATGGTGAGTGTAGAGAACCGGAGACCCTTTTTACTGGAAACGAAGCATTCCATCTAATTCCTCACAGGTGACAACGTATCTGCATTTTGGTTCGTAATCGAGGATAGATGTAGATGTCTATGAGCCACAGCAACTACTTACCATCAGGTGGACTGTGTGCTCGTTTGTCACTCTATCCTATAAAAAAGTCATCATTTCATTTTTAGGGTTCCGTATCCACACGTATTATAATGCTGTCTGTCTGTCTGCATGTCCGTCCGTATGTGACGGTCCCTAGCTCGTATACGGAAGTTAAACCTAGGATATTTTATCTAGAAGTCAAGTCAGTTCGGCTGTTTCAAGATAAACTAACGCCTACCTAAACTGAAGTGCCGCGATCAAGAAGCGTGAGGAAGATTCTGATCGATAGTTTTTTCTTACGATATTGATTTAGCATCGTTACCAGTTAGTTATACCAGTTACTCGACTCCAAGAGTCAGTAATTCCTTCATTAGGCAAACCTTCATTACGCTTTTACAACAAAGTCCCAGAAAAAGTGCAGACCTTATCTATCAAAAAAGTTACAGCCTATATACGTCCCACTGCTGGGCACAGGCCTCCCTTCATTTCTAAGAGGGTTTTAGGGCAAGGAAGTGTTCGCCGCGCTGCCCCAATGCGTGTCTTTGAAATACTTTACATGTCTTTGAAATATCTATCAAAAGTTTGAAATATTTATTTAAGCAAAAATTGTTTAGTAAGGGTTATTATACTAATAAAGAGTACATGATTGATATAAGCCCATGAGAATGAGGTGATCGCTACTATGCTGTTTCTAATTTTTTTCATAATATTTCTACGTTTAATATTTGTACGTGGTAGAGCCATGCTGCAATTATATTAGTAGTATAGTTGTAGCACGAATGGGTCGGCTCGACCGGGGAAGGACCACGCTCTCACAGAATACCAGCGTGAAATAGTAGCTTAATGCTGCTGTATTTCGTATGGTACTCACCATACGAATTAATGAAATAGTATACTGGAAACATTTTGGAACATACCCCAAATAATAAAGGGTAAAAAAGGCCCCGCTTTATCGACGTCATTTTGACAGTTGACATAACAGTAAATATTTTAGTTGATTTTAGTTTTTTGTAATAATATTTTTTAAGTTGATTTGAATACCAGCGTCAAATAGTAGCTTAATGCTGCTGTGTTTCATATGATGAGTGTTGAGAACCGGAGACACTTTTTACTGGAAACGAGGCATTCCATCTCAGTCCTCACGGGTGAGAACGCATCTGCATTTTGATTTGTAATAGAAGATAGATGTAAATGTCTATGGGCCGCAGCAACCACTTACCATCAGGTGGACTGTGTGCTCGTGTGTCACCCTATCCTATAAAAAAAAAAATATTATATTGCTTTAAAAAAAAGTCCCGCCGGATTTCTTGCTGGTTTTTCCCAGGACAGACGTTTTCTTCCGAACTTTCAGTAAGTGTTTTTGTAATCGACGTTGAATAAAAATGATTCTATTCTATTCGTTAATGCCGAATAGTTTACTACTATGCTTCCAAGAATTTTTCACTGTTCTTAGCAGCAGGACGACCAAACATGGGGCTCCGCGGGCTACTGCTTCACCATGACAACTCGCCCGCGCATTAGAGCGCTCAAAACGACTGACTTTCTAGGCAGCACACCGGTTAAACTTTTGAGTAAGCCTCTTTAAAGCCCTGATTTGGCACTGTGTGACCTTTTCATTATTACAAATAAAAAATCTGCAGAAAGGGATACAAATTTCATCGCCGGAATATGAGCAAGCAGCGTTCGTGCAGGCCGTAGATCTGTCTGAGGCACACTAGAAAAAGTGTATAAAAATTGGTTCGGACGCATGAAACTTTGTGAAGATATAGATGCTGGCGGAAAGTTCTTTGAAAAGGTTTTGTAATAAAAACTGTTCGAAGTACATTGTGTACGAAAACCATACTTGGCCTACTGTAATAAAGATTCGTAATGGAATAATTTGCCGGCGTCTGCCTTTCCTTCCAAATACAACTTTTGTTAAGTACGCCCATCCATTGAGGGCTTCATCAACACTTACCACCAAGTGGGATTGTCGTGAAGCTGGCTTATAGTAAGTAAAAAAAGTTTTCCTTCCAACCTGTTTCCCTACAGCCACTATTTGTGCGCACGTATATAATATATCAAGTTAAAATAAATATTTTTACAAGTATTACCACAGAATAAATAATAGCACTACGTAGTATTATCAAGTTTTACTAGTAATCATCATCATCATTACAGTCCTTCACAAGTTCAATGCTGAACATAGGCCTCCCCCAAGGAATGCCACATTGCCACCATCGGCATCCATCGACTACCTGCATGTCTTACCAGGTCGTCGCTCCATCTAGTGGGGAGTCGCCCTACACTTCGCCTACCAGTACGAGGCTGCCACTCGAGAACCTTTTTTCCCCAACGGTTGTCGGTTCTTCGAGCTATATGGCCGGCCCATTGCCACTTCAGCTTACTAATCCGTTGGGCTATGTCGGTCACTCTAGTTTTACTGCGGATATCCTCATTTCTAAGTTTATCACGCAGAGAAACCCCGCGCATAGCCCTCTCCATAGCTCGTTGAGCGACCTTGATCGTCCTCATACGGCCAGCAGAGAAGGACCGCGTCTCAGTTCCATAGGTCATCACTGGCAACACGCACTGGTTGTACAGTTTCGTTTTCAGCTTTTGAGGTATAGCTGACGAGAAGATGTGTCGCAATTTCTCGAACGCTGCCCAGCCGAGTTAAATCCGTCGAGTGACCTCTCGGTCGAAGTCGGACTTACCTAGTCGGACTCTTTGTCCCAGGTAAACATACCCGTTAACAAGTTCGAGCTTTTTTTTTAAGTGCGAGCAGCTATGCAGGTCTAGTGAAAGAGACCAGTATCACTGCGACATAGAAGATCTATTGTGACCGCTGCTATGGCTATAGTTCATGGCTAAGCCCTATGTCTTCAATGAATAGAAGGAGTTGCTTAGCCGTGAGGAATTTCACTTCTTCTGGGCGGAGTACATAGTTTCTCAGATGTGTGTTACGGTTGCGCATTAAGGGTTCGCAATCAGTTAGGATGTGTAGATCCGTTATGGAACAGAACCGACACATCCTTAAGTTGCTTAGTACCAGGATGGACATGTGCTTTTTAAGACAACAGTGTCCAGTTAGGGCTCTTGCCAGAATGCGCAATTTATTTTTACTTAATCCCAGGGCTCCTGAAGTGAATTTACGATCAAAAGCCCGGATTAAGGTTTTAGAATGTTTTAAGCCTGGTGTATCAGACCAGATCTTAAGTGATTTATTGTGATAAAGAGTTTCAAGGGTCAATCGGGCTAGGCTTCTTGAGATTCCACAAAATGGCTCAGGTCCAAATTGTGTGCACTTTGAGCCCTCCCGTGCAAGTTTGTCGGCAAATTCGTTTCCTACAATACCCTCGTGACCCGGAACCCGTCTTAAAACAACCCCGTTTAAACGGTTTACGCAATCTCCATCTAGCCTCGAGTTCACTAAGTTTGACCTCAGCGCTAGCAGTGCTGCTTGACTATCAGAGTTTATGTAAATTATATGGTTGACGTAGTGTTTTTGCAGATTGATTTCCGCACACCGAAGTATGGCGAAAATTTCTGCCTGGAAGATAGAGGTGTATCTACCCAAATTTATGCTAAGTTTGAATTTTGGGCCATTGAGCCAGTCTTATCTGGAGGGTAATTCCACTATATACTTTTTATCATAAGTGTGTAGTGGACGCATGATATCTGAGATCATGCATAAGACCGGTGATTCCTTAATTGAGTCGAGCATGGATCTAAATCTGTAGGAGAGCAAGCTCAGACCGCAATACAAAATATACAAACTAGCTCTCGCCTCCTTGTCTAGATAAAGATCAAGGGGCGTTAGGCATAGAAGTGCATTAAGAGCCGCTCCAGGCGATGATCGCATAGCTCCAGTTGCCAGTTGCAGGCAGTCCTTTGTAGACTATTTAGTCTGTCCGCAGTCGTCTTTTGGTTGGCCTTGTTACACCAGACGATAGAGGCGTAGGTGAGAATCGGCCTCACTTTGCCATACATACAGCCATAGGACCATACTGGGACGCAAGCTCCAGTTGTTCCCGACCAAACGACTGCACGTACCTAAAGCAATTTTTGCCTTATGGCATACGTTGCTAAGGTGAGAGTTCCACGTTAGTTTATGGTCGATTGTTACGCCCAAGTACTTAACTTCCGTGGAAAATGGTACCTCTTTACCATTAAATATTGGTTGGACTAATTTGTCCAACCGTCTCTTTTTGGTAAAGGGTATTATAACAGTTTTATCAGCATTACCTGATAAACTGTTATCCCTACACCAGTTATTTATGGTGTTTAGGGCTCTTTGTATTATTGACGATAAAGTATTTTGGCAAAAGCCCCTCGCAATGATCACAAGGTTATCAGCATAACCCAGTGTGTCAATGTGTAGGTCTGTTATTTTGTACAACAGTTGGTCAACCGCAAGAGCCAAAGAAGGGGTGACAAAAAACCTCCTTGTGGGCAGTCTCTTGTAGTTGTAACCTCAATCGATGTTTGAAACAGCGCTATTTTTGTCTTTCTGTTTGAGAGCATCGACTTCACCCATCTGATAGTTGTGGAGTTAACATTTTTAGATGTCAGGCCCCCAATCAGCAGTGATGTGGGGCTACTAAAAAAAAGCATTAAAAACATTAATTAAGTTCGAGCTTAGTGCTCCCAACAACTACCGGCATATCATGGACGTTACACATGATCTTCGTTTTGTACATGTTCATCTTAAGAACCTCCCAACGGATAGGCCGTTGGGAGGCGTTGGGAGACTATTGAGGTCATTGAGCATAGTGCTTAGGTCCTCCAGCGATTTTGCCATAAGGACTATCGTCGGTAAATTGAAGGAGAGTGATGTACTCGCCATTGATGTTAATACCGTATCCTTTCCAGTCCAGTAGCTTCAAAACGTCTTCCAATGCAGCGGTGAAGAGTTTCGAGGATATAACGTCACCCTGTCTTACACCTCTCTGCAGTTGGATAGGTTTTGTACTCTGGTTCTGTACTCGGATAGCCATCGTGGCCCTACTGTACAAATACTTCACCACTTCGATATACCGACAGTCAACTTGGCACCGCTGAAGGGACGACGGAAAAGGCTTTCTCATAGTCCACATACGCCAGGCAAAGTGGCAGATTGTACTTTTCGGACTTCCGTACAATTTGCCGGAGGGTATGTATGTGGTCTATGGTGTTAAAGCCTTTTCGGAAACCGGCTTGTTCGGGAGGCTGGAAGTAGTCGAGTCTGCGTGCGAGACGATTCGTAATGACGCTCGAAAACAGCACGTAGAGGCGGCTCAGAAGGGATATCGGTTTGTAGTTCTTCAAGAAAGGTGACAACGCTCTCTTGAAGAACTACATACCGATTTCCTAGGCCACCGCACTTCTGCTCCATGCCTCGGGAGGAGAGCCACAATGGAGGACGGAATTAAAGAGCTTCTGAAGGACTCCAAGTACCGGTTTTCCATTCGCTTTCAGAAGCTCTGCTGTAATTCCATCCTCGCCCGGGGCCTTGCCGTTTTTAAGGTGCTGGAGAACCATTCTAATCTCACTCAGACTGACGTCCGGGATATCATCGGAATAGTTTCGGATAAGACTTGTTCTTGGATCGTTACTAGTAATAAGAATTGATAATTGCTGAAAAAATATGGGAACTGTCTTGAAAAAATTTGAAACTAACTTTTTAATTACATGAAAGTGCTGAGTATGATTTTCACACCCAATGTACTTCGTACAATTTTTTTACCGAAGGACATTTTTTAGTTTCGGAAACTTTTTGAGTGAACCAAGTATTATATAGGTACTAGAATTTTCCATACCTCTCCTTCAAAACTCCGAGAGACACCGTAACGATGACGCTTTTGGCTGCATATAGGCTTCCATCCTTGCATTTCACATGTACCAGCGGGTTCTCTGGTTCGAGCCCGGGTTGGCTGGTCCGCCATTTTATGCTTTCCACTTCCTTTTTCAACAATATCTGCACGGGTATTGCTTTAGCGGGATCTGGATATTTATTCTAAAATACAACATGGCTTAGTTTAGTAAATAAAGTAATAAAACTAATTCATATTCCTGTGTAGTGGAGTAGGTATCTGCTAGGTATGACGGAAGGAGTCTTGTACTAACGTCGTAATAACACTCGCGATTTATTATTCCATTAACACATAAATATAAAGTTAAAAGGAGAATGCAACTTAAATTCTTAACAAGAAGTAAAAAGTGCAGAAATAGAGAGAAACTTAAAATAAGATAGTTGAATAAATTAACAAAGTTAGGAACACGTAAATAATTAATACACCCGTTTTCCTGGTTTTGTATTTTGTAACTTTTTTATAGGTTAAGGGTGACAAACGAGCGCACAGTCCACCTGATGGTAAGTGCTTGCTGTGGGCTATAGACATCTATACTATCCTCGATTACGAATGAAAATGCAGATGCGTTGTCACCCGGGAGGACTAAGATGGAATGACTCGTTTCCAGTCAAAAGGGTCTCTGGTTCTCTACACTCACCATATGAAACACAGCAGCGTTAAGCTGCTATTTTAAGTTGGTATTCTGTGAGAGCGTGGGCCTCCCCGGTCGAGCCGACCCATTCGTGCGACAACTATACCGGTAATATAGATGCAGCATGGCTCTACCACGTGAAAACTTGTTAACCATACGAAATACATTAAGTTACCAATTCCCTTTTGATGTGCGATCTCCCGGTCTTAAAAACTAAACTTTTTAACGCAGTCGGGTTTTTTTCAAATTATCTACTTTTCAAAGTTTTGTTGCTTAGTAACTATAAAACAGAATTTTTACAATGAAATAACTCAAGGAGTAAAATTTGTGAATTTAACACACCAATAAAACGTCCAAAATAGTCTTATATCCTTTTCCCTTCCAGTTGAGCATAAACTCGCCCTCGCAGCCCCAGCACTCGTCAAGACCTCTCAGAGATTTTTCCTTCCGGGGGTCATTTTTCCCTCCGACGTGGCAGTTCCTCTCGAACCATTCCACAAAGTACTTCGCCAATTGAGGATCTTTCTTTAATATTGTGTTAGACTTTACTCTGAAACAAATTCTTTATTTATTTTGTCATCAAGCTTGGATTCTTCTTTTTTTTCTTCTTTGTGTGTTGCAAAAGGCAACGGCTTTGCCTCGGTCGTGGATAGAATTGCCTTTAAATGCAGGCGGATTGACGATGCCACCAAATAGCAATGATTACAAGGCATTCCATGTTAGTCCCCATAGGTGGCAACACATCTGTAGCCTTTGTTTGAAATGGCTTGTAGGTATTCTTGGGGTGGACTGCAAGATTGTTTCATTTCAATTTTTATTTAAAATAAACTCGTTCGGTATTACCCACACACGAGGACAAACATCCCAACAGGGAACAAATATTAGTAGGCCCTACAAATATTTGTTAAATGCGGGATTTGAACTCGAAGCCTAGACGTCTACGAAGTATCAGACGTCTCCCACCTTTGACGAGACTGCCCATCGTCGACCTGGGTATTTTATGATGCCGATACCTATAGATAACTTTTAGTATAATTTTTTATAGGATACGTTGACAAACAAGCACACAGTCCATCTGATGGTACGTGGTTGCTGTGGCCCATAGACATTTACTTTACATCTATCCTCGATTACTAATCAAAATGTAGATGCGTTGTCACCCAGGACTAAGATGAAATCGCTCGTTTTCAGTAAAAAAGATCTCCGGTTCTTTACACTCACCAGAAACACAACAGCATTTATCTGCTATTTTACGCTGGTATTCTGTGACAGCGTGGTCCTTCCCCGGTCGAGCCGACCCATTGGTGATACAACTATACTACTAATACAACTGCAGCATGGCTCTACCACGTATAACCACTATCGGAGGACATATTTTTGTGGCAATTCTAATAGACTTTTACCCCAAGTGAAGCGCTTCAAGTGCTTGACGAAATCAACACGATATCTGAAAAATTACAAAAAATGTTTTAAGATTCTCCAAAACCTTCAGAGAAACGCTTCTCATTTAGGGCTATGCAACTCTTCATGTTTTGGTTTCATAATAACTAAATGAGGAAAAGAATTCTTACATTACTGTAGTGTGAAACAGAATACCAGCATGAAATAGTAACTTAATGCTGTTGTGTTTCGTATGGTGAGTGTAGAAAGCGTAGGGAACCGGAGAGTCCTTTTACTGGGGGCGAAATATTCAACCTTGATCCTCGGGTGTGACAACGCATCTGCATTTTGATTTCTAATCGAGGATATATTATGTAGATGTCTATGGGTCACAGCATCCATTTACCATCAGGTGGACTGTGTGCTTGTTTGTCGTCCTTGTTCTTAAAAAAAATATTTATACATATTAGTTTTAAACAAACGTAATATATACACTTACGCGTTTCTTACACATTCGGAGATAGATTTGGTGTTATTCTTGTCAGCTTTTTCAACTTCTTCATTCAGTGCATTGAGGAGAGAACCACATTTATCCTCCTTCAACAGTTCACCGTTCGAGAGAACGAACCACTTGTTGTCTGGGCTAGGTTTTCCAAGCAGACCTAAGGGACTAGCGAGCTCAAACACAACGTTATCTTTTTCACCATGACACCTGGAAGCAGAAATAATTATTTTTGATGTGTGTTCACACATTTATTTGGAAGCTATAGACACAGTAGATCTCTATGATATGCGTGTGGTTTATTTATTATTATTTTACATAAACTTGTTATGTGTTTTACTGTTTTAATTTTATCAGTGTAAACTTGTAAATGATATTCTTCTTGTAGTTAATTATGCAATTATCTTTTAGCTGTAAGTTTTTCTGTAAGGTTGTGATGGATGTACTCGTAAGTTTTCCAAAACAATGTAATAAAATAAATATTGTTATTGGTTTGTGATTTTTTATTATAAGAAAACTCACATTTGAATAACTCTCCCGAATTACCCAAATTTTATTTAATTACTTTGAAAATGCGAAGGCGATTTGCGCAACCTACACGTATAATCTATCGCTAATAATCCATTCGAGTAAGCTTCTGGATGGGTTTCATATTATGATATACTCATTTTATGATGTAATCGTATCGAGGGTAATATAGCCGTTGCGAAGGAAGAAGATGAATATTTATTGATTAGTCATCTGTCGAAGGAATTCTTAATTTTAAATTGAAGGTAGCCGTGGTTAATTATGAGATTGGGATGTCGAACACCTCAATCTCCCCCCGTAAGCATAAGTGCTGTAAGTGTAAAGTACTCGTAACTTCGGTAAATATAAAATAAGTTAATAAACGCCATTAACTAAAAAAAATAACAAAAAACACGAGCCCCAGCAGCTCCGATGGTTAGCGCTCGCTGTAAATTTCACAGTACGCAAGGAAATCTGGTTCGATCCCCGCCGGCGCTAATGAAATTGTTAACTGCAATTTTAAGTGCTGATTTACCACGTGCTCGGCAGTGAAGGAAAACATCGTGACCAAACCTGCACGTCTGAGAAATAAGAACAATAAATATTTCGAAGACATGTGAAGTTCGTCAATACGCATTGGGGCGCGGCGGACAATTTCTTGCCCTAAAACCCTCTCAGAAATGAGCGGAGGCCTGTGCCCAGGAGTGGGACGTAAATAGACTGTAACTTTTTCAACTAGCTTAACTTTAACATAAATAAATAAAAACAATAAGAAATAAATGAAAATAATTTTGGACACATACCAAGCGGCGCCTAAATCCAACGCGCATTCGCCATACTCAACAGTCATAATTCTTCCGCCGATCCTGTCGTCAGCTTCTAGGCCTAGCACCTTCAATCCAGCGTCATGGAGCTTTCGTAGAGCCGCTATTCCCGATGCACCACATCCTATCACAATCACGTCCATCATTTGTCTGGAATAGCAAAATACGCTTGTTATAATTATTTTATATACCTACTAAACGTGACGAACGAGCACACTGTCCACCTGATGCTAAGTGTATGCTGTACCCTATAGACATCTACATCTGTTTTCTATTAAGGATCGTAATGCAGTTGGATTGTGATCCCTAAGGTTCCAGATGGAGTACTGCTATTTCGCGTTAGTATTTTGTGAAAGCGCCCGTCCTCGGTCGAGTCAACCAATTCAAGTTGTAGTCATAATTCTCTAAAAAATAACATAATGACCAATTTCAACCATATTGGCAGCTGCGCACATGACAGTACAATGAGTGTGCCCGCAGATACAGGAACACAACTTACTCAAGCTAAGTCGCTCCGTGTGTAATCATATGTGCTAAAATCAAAGGCTCCATGTAATTATGCCTTTGTTTAAATTCTTTTTTTTTATATATAGAATAAGGATGATAAACGAAGACACAGTCCACCCGATAGTAAGTGGATGCTGTGGCCCATAGACATATAATTTTTACATACATCCTCGAGTAGGAATAAAAACACAGATGCGTTGTCACCCCTGAGGACTAAGATGGAATGCCTCGTTTCCAGTGAAAAATTGTCTCCGGATCTCTACACTCACCATACGAAACACACTTTCTATTTTACGCTGGTATTCTGTGAGAGCGTGGTTCTTCCCGGTCGAGCCACAAAAACCAATAAAAGATAATTCTTGAAGCACCGTGCTGTAGCCGGACTGTACCATAGACAGGGCACGGTCAAACATCCAGTACCTATACTTTTATACGTATCTGTGTCACGGGCGGGGCACGGTGTAACGAGAATCACCCTTTGTGTGTTGTCTGCTCATGCTTGTTCTAACTGGGATGTAAGCTTCTATGAAGTCGCAATAAGCCGGCCATATAGCTTGAAGAACCTGACAACTCGAGTGGTAGCCTTGTACTGGTAGTAGAAATGTACGGCGGCGCCCCACTTGATGGAGTGAGGACCTGGTAAGACAAGAAGGTAGTCGATGGATTTACGTGGCTCAGGACCGTACTTTATGGCATTGTTTGGGACAGGCCTGTGTTCAGTAGTGGACTTGTGAAGAGTGAAGTGAAGAGTGGACTAGTGTAATGATGATAAATTAGATTACTCTGATGTGAAAAAATGCAACACAACCAATGAAAATCTAATGAATACAAGGAAGAAAAATTTCCGTCATCATATTCTTTACACAAAGGACATTCCTGAGTCACCTTCATGCATCGACTATCCGCATGTTTTACCAGGTCGTAACTCCGTTCAGTAGGAGAATACAGAATGGTATTGCAGCAAAGCAGCAAGCTTAGTTCGTCAGTGCGAGGTTGCCACTCGAGAACCTTTCTTCTCCATTGGTTGCCAGATTATATGATTGGTCTAAAGTTGACTCAGTTTGTTAATCCATTTTGCTTTTCGGTTACTCTGTTTCTACTGTGAATATACTCGTTATGGTTATTCTCAAGCATAGCTTATCCCAGGCTCAATGTGTGACTTTGTTTAGCAGCTAAAAACGAGTGCTTTTTAAAAACGATATACCTACTGCAAATAATAATGGCGCAAAATAACACTGGTTTATAAAGTAGGACCTTAAACATGAGGTAAGAAGGAATTTGAATATAAAACGTGTTTATATTATGTTACTACAATTAATAGAGATCATTAATATTGTGTCGAGTTTAGTAATGGGCTTAATTGGTAGATTCCATTTGAAACTAATATCGAAGTAAATAAGAATAAGTTTTAAAATGTAATTAGAGATAAACTTGCTATTAACTATGCAAAAACAATATACTTTTAGCTGTGCAGATATTTATGTAAGTATGCATGTAGGTATGTCCGTTTTTATGTCCGCCTGTAACTCATAAATATCAAAATACAGCAATATATATATATCGATATTTTCGATATATAATTATTATATATCGTCGATATTTAAAATTGCGATATATCGATATTTATTTTGGAGTATTGAATTAGTATCAATTTCGATATATTTTAAAATGATGTATTAATCGACAAACATAAATAAAAAAGGAGCTACAAATGTATTCATGAGCTGTTCTTTTTTTTTCGTAGTCCAACCGTCCAGTAACCATTTTGGGCATTATCCTACTAATCATGCATAACATGACGATATATCGATATTTAACACGTGATAATATATATCGATACTGTTTAAAAATATCGCGTATCGATATAGTATTCACGATATAGTATTCAGTCACGCGCACATCCCTATTCTTGTACAAGAAACAAGTCGCCGTATTTTAAGGGGAAATATAATCTCAAACGGTTTAGCAAGATTTTTCGTTATGCCTAAAATATTGTAGCATTAATTTTGAAATAAATATATGGTAAAGTTGAGGATTAATGTTAAGGATTATCTTAGACAAAAACACAATTTCGTAAAATTTTCTCGATAGAAAAAAAATCCAAAGTTACCTCCAAAATAAACAATAAACCGCTGTTATTCATAAAATACTTTAAATAAGATCATGAAACTTTGCATACTAACTGAACTAACTATAAAGCAGTGCTTATGTTATTTAATTTTTTTTAAATACCATTATTTTCACTCTAAAAAGAAATTACCTAAACTATCAGCCTTATGAAGCGTGATTCCTGCCGCACGGTCACTTCGCTTCGGCCTTTGAAGGGGGAGGTTGCGTCGTTTACGATCAGAATATACATTACGCAACAGGACGACGTAAAATTAAAATGGGAAATAACCGTAATAATAATAATAAGAAGAAGCGACTGGCTTGGCGTTAAAAAACAGGCATAAATATGATAAACCTAATGAAATAAGTGTCTAACGACCTTTCTACTTACAGTATTAGTGATTACAAACATGTCGGTATATAGCATACGACGCGCGGGCAAGTGGGGACGAAATTAGAATTTGAGCTGACTTACTATATCCCCTTAACAAATATCGTTTGGGTAATACACGCATAATAATATTGAAAAAATATAATTGACAAAAACTGTCAAAAAATTACGTCCGTTAATTGTACACATACTAATTATTTGCATATCTACATAAATCACAAAAAATGTTTTTACCTATGTCCGTTATAGACTTTGAAACCATCCAACCGATTTTGATGAAATTTTTAGTGTGTGTTTGAATGGGACCTTAGATGGTTTATATTTACATTTAGACCCGGTAGATGGCGCTGTTGTCAAGATCCAGAAATCACCCGTGCGAAGCCGGGGCGGATCGCTAGTTAGTTATATTAGTTGAAGAATATAATATAATATACTATATTCAGAGGTTGACGCTGCTCTCCGTCGCTGTGCTGGGTATTTTAACCCGCTAGCTCAGAAAGAACAGCAAACAGTTAAGTAAACATGGTGGTAAAACAACTTACTAACGGAATCCATCAGTTTCTTCTGACATATCCCATAGTCTATAGAGAGATCTCATCACCACATTTTGTTCCGAATGTTTTGGAACGAAATGTGGTGATGGATTCTCTCACGCTGCGACCATATGCCAATTTTATATATATACGTAATACATTAAAAATAAATTAATTGATATTCCTCCGTGGCGGCTAAAGAGATATCCACTATCCCATATCATCCCGTCAGTAACGTAAAAGGCGACATAACAACTTAAAATAATGAAAAACTGCGGTTGCTAACCACCGTGCCAAGAATGGCAACTATGCCAAAATCCATATGAGACAATGTAATGGCGTTCCTCTATGTTTTTGGGTGGACTTTTGATAGAAATAAGATGAAATGAATAAATGAAAATGATAAAATATAATATGATGAAACTTGAGACGTGGTTTCTCAGAGGCTAAGGCCTATTTTTCACTGCACGTGAGTAACTCGGGTTTGATCTCCACCAGCACCAATCAAATTGTTGAATGCAATTTTAAATTTTGATTTTGACTCGGCGGTTAAGGAACACAACATAACAAAACCTGCAAGTCTCAGAAGTTAAACCGTAGTAAGCAAGATATAGGTAAAGTTAATAAATAGCAGAAAAAGTAGGAATAAAAACGCATAAATTTAAAATAGACTATTATATTTATTTGTTATATGAGTACCTTTTAACTAGCCAATGTCCAATGTCAATGTTCAAGCCAATGTCAATCTCAACAGTTAAGTTTTTAAAAAATTGTAATGTTGGGGGGTGGTGAAGAGAAAAATTGGGTGGGGGTGGTTTGGTTGAAAAAATAAAAAAATTGAGTGGAGATTTCCATAGAGTACTTGTGAAGTTAAGCAAAAAAAAAACCTTAATAAAATGTTCACGATTGTGCATTGTTTATGTAAATTCGAAAATTGAAATTTTAATTATAATCGGGTGTGGGTGCGAAAAGGTCTACCCACACTATTAACTTCCTATGATTAAGTTGCCTTATCAAGTAAGTAAAAATTAATAAAAAATAATATAAAGGCCGTCTGATTTCATAAAACTTGTATCAGATGTTCGTTACGCAATTATTCGACGAATGTAATTGATGTACAGACGCTATTATCACTGGTATTGGAGTTATACAAAATAAAAGACGTCCACTTACATACTACGAAGCAAAAACGCTAATTATTTAATAATTAAAATTAACTTATTAAATAAAAGTTACAGTTAAGCCATAAATAGCAGTTTTTAGTTTAAACTTCTTATTGTTGTGATGTGTAGGTACGTCAATTGTTTACGTCAAAAAACACAATTATTCTTCATTAATTTTTTTATATACATACGAACTGTTACTAGGAAACATAATATAGTGCGGTAATTGCTATATTAAAATTAATATGTTTGTATAAAAACCATAATAATGATAAAACCACGCGTTTCCAGTAGTGAGCAGTCAACAGGAGATGGTAGTAGACTATGGTCGGATGTAGACATCATTTAGTCTAGTTATTAATATAGTGGTTGATAAAAAGTCATTTTTTTAAATCACCACAGAGTGTCATTCTTACAGAACGTCGAATATACATTCCTCAAACTCAA